AGAAGAAGTGTTTCATTTGCAGGGAAAGTGAATTTGTATGAAACTAAAAAGCTAGAATTAGCAAATCAAAGTCCATTCGTTTGTGAAGTTGGGCATGGTGTTTCTCTGACTTTCTGATTTGTTTTTGAATTAACCAGACCTGATACAATTTCTATGTGATTTTTATGGACGACATAATTAGGGAAAAGGTCTAGAACTGTTCATACTGCTTTGTTATTGATGAATCTCGGCCAGATAGTGACAGCAGTATATATATTATGATAGACAACGCAGGTGATAAACCTGTTGGCAATAATATAGGTTAGAATGACATTTAACAAAATGTTTCATTAGATCATCTCTGTTTCCTGATTTCAGTTGTTGTGAAAGCTGACATGGCATAAACAAAAATGGTCATAACGTTTAAAGTATTTAAATTAATTGTTTCAAATAAAGGCTAGCTGATGCACAATTGAACACAGAAGGCGTGTGAATTCTTAGAAATGGATAGCAGTGTTTTTGAACAAGTAAAAAGTTATGTGAGATTTCAGTAATTTGTGTGTGTATAACACTGAGGCTTTGATAGTAAGATTTATTCTGCATTGATTTCTCTTTTTTTTTTATATTTGTCCCTTTACAGCCAATAATTTTCCTTCAGGAAGGTTTTAACTTTGTCATGTTGCAGTAAAAAAAAAAAAAATTGCTCAGAACTAATCCTGTCTAAACCCCAGAAATAATGTCGTCCTGAAAGAGTGCTGATACCTCTGACACATTGCACTACAGGAAAAAAATATTACCATTACAAGCAAGGGAGATAGCTGTGTAAATTACAATGTATTATAAAATGTTATTTACTTCCCTTGGCAGTTAATTTAAACACTTAAAATGATCAAAGATGACAATATTCTCTTTATTTGTTTTTATGTGTGTGTGTGTGTGTGTGTGTGCGTGCGTGCATGCGTGTGTGTGTGCGTGCGTGCATGCGTGTGTGTGTGTGTGCGTGCGCGCGTGTGTGTGGCTTGATATCTGAAATGTGTCTCATCGGGTAATCTCAGTATCAAGCCGATCTCAGTGAGAAGCTCTGTCGTTTATTTTTTTCTAGACTTAGTAAAGTCAAGATCCCTTTTCATGCCTTAGGCGCATAGGACATATGGGAAGAGCACCCATATTTTTACAGCATTACGCTGATCTTCTAGTGTGCTCACTCTTAAAAGAGCGATTGACATATTGTGTTACTGATTACAGCTAGGCTTCGATACTTGCACCTTTCTGCCCACCGTATCTGATTCTAAACAAATCCCTAATGAGATGCCTCTTAGGCATTGTTTTTTGGCTGGGAGGGGGGGTCTCTCCCCCCCCCCCCCCCCCCCTAGTATGGGACCGATAACTCATCCCACTGCTACTTTTACAGTAAGCATTCGAAAAAAGTGTACAATAGTTGAAATTGCATTTAAATGTGAATAATGACAGTGTTTTTAAAAAAGGTAATAAATTTCAAAAAACAGTAAACAATATTTACAAATAAAAAGAAATATACAATATGATATCTGAGGATGAGACATTTTAGTTCAAATACTCGTGATTTTAGAAGTCAAGTTCCAGTGTGTTTGGTTCAAATACTCGTGATATGAGAAGTAAAGTTCCAGTGTGTTTGATTCAAATACTCGTGATATTTAAAAGTCAAGTTCCACTGTGTTTGGTTCAAATACTGCAGATATGAAAAGTCAGTTCGAACATTCGCACACTCATACACGCACTGCATGACTTTTCGAAGTAGTACACTTTTCTTATTTTGCGTCACGTTCAACCAGATTCCTCAAAGGGGGAGTTTTTGGTTATAATCGTGACTAGGTTATTTGCGCCAAATAAAATGACTCAACATTGTTCGCCACTAAGTAGTCCTGAAAATGAATCTTGCAGTGTTTGCAGTGAGACAGACCCAACATACTGTCCTGACTTTCGACGAAGTCGTCTACCAGTGAGTCAGTGGGCGACCTGGCTGCTGATGAGTTTGTGCGCTAGTCCCTTCCTGGTCTACTCTCTAGTTATGATGCATCGTGGGATCTCGTCCGATTTGTAACGGATATCCTGAATGGTCATTTTTCTACATTAAACCATACTTCCAAATAATATTAAAAATATACAACAGGATATTTAAGGATGTCCCATTTTGGTTAAAATAATCGTGATATGTGAACTCAAGTTTCAATGGGTTTGATTCAAATACTGCGGATATGAAAATTCCAAAACCACATACACTGTATAACTTCAGGAAGCTGTACACAAGCAGAACTAGTTAGGCATCATGGGATCGCGTTAGATTTGTAACGGATATCCTGAGTAGTGATTTTCCTACACCAGATTAGTCATCAAAGTTAGAATCACTGACTGGCGGCCCAGAAACGTGCTTGTAATATGTATGACTCATTCTACTGCACAACATATCTACATGTAAGATCGTGGATGTGTCCATTCACTGTTTACTATCGTGAGACTCATTAGGGGTGCCAGCATACCCAAAATAGCTTACATCTAGGGCTTCCCCCACCCCCTCCCCCTATTCCTTCTGGAGACTTTATTTATGCATAATTTTTTCCCCAGCGATACTTTTTTTTTGCGTTCACCGGCTGCAAACTCCAGCGAAAAGTTTTGGTTGCTCGCCCACTTCTGGAGCTTAGTAATGTTCTAGGGCTTGGGTTTTTCGTGCACGTCCGTTTTACAGATATGGTTTATCTACATGCAGACTATTGGTTCCACGCCTCCCAGGCAGATATTGCACTCCAACTGCGAAGGAATCAGTGTTACTATAATAGAAACTTTGTAGTGTGTGCTGACACATATTTCTCCAGAAAAAAAGGTTTCTGCTTACACTTACTGAAGTAAGGCTTTAATCATTGACTGCTGAAGACGAGAACGAAGCGTGTATGGGAAGTTTCAAAGTTCTGTTATGTTGGTTCTCAACTCGGTAAACCATAGGGCAATTTGTATGCCATAGGGGCGTGCTAGAGTATTAACTTACAGAGTAACCAGCATTCGTGTGAGCATCACATGACCTTTAATTCTCTGGACATTCTCTTCATACCAGTTTCAAGCAAGGGTGAGCTAAAATACAAGGTCAAATATCTGAAAATCCAACTCCATTGGGATTCGAACCCACGACCTTCGGGATGGTAGGCAAGCGTTTAGCCACTGCTGCAGCTCCCGGTGAAAGTACGTAGCGACATTTCCCCCAGACTCGCTACCAACGTCTAGTATGCAGGTTCACATGGTTAGACAGAACGGCATTCAAGACAAGCCCATATTAGCTGCGCCTCTCTCCTCAACAGCCAGCGAAAATTCTGATAGTACCCGTTGTCAACTATCCGTTGCTCGAAGTCCAGGGTTCAAGCCCAGGTGAAGGCTGGGATTTTTCTATTTGGACTTGTAATTTTCCCTATTCTCTGGGTAGTATGATCGGACGCCCGTGTGTATTCTTGCTCACGTTTTAAAATAAAATCCAATGGCAGTTGGAAATCGAAAAAGACAGCCTAATGGCTTTGCCCGGACAAAAATTGGGAGTCAAAAATGTACCCAAAGTATTTCAGGATCCTTGCTGGTGCTACGGAGTTCGTGCACAGCGCTGAGATGTTCGGACTCAGGCTTGAGTCAAAAGTAGAACAGAGCACTTATGGGTTACTACCCTTGTGCCATGATATTGATCCATCGTCTAAGGCTAAACTACTTACTGTACCTTTTTCCTTAAAATGTATCGAACACAGAGCACGACTTCTGTTGCTCCAGCGATATATACAGTATTCAGAGGAACTGTTATACATGTTTTCTTGTTCGGCTCATTCTCGTCCCACACATCGGTGACCGAGTGGTCCATTAGCTCGCCGGTTGACGACTTCGTCGCCGGTCCGGCGCAGTATGTGGGTGTGTCTCCTTTAATTGCATGAACACTGCAGGAGTCACTTTCAGAGATCTTCGTGGCGTGCAATGCTTAGCCATTTTATATGGCGCACACAGCCTAGTCACATTTATAACCTTAAACTTTACCTACAGGGATGCTCGTTGAACGTGACGATTTTTTCCCCCAGCAAAGCACTTACCTACCTCATTCTTTTCCTGGTTTGTTTTAATCTCGTGCAATCCGCTTACATTCGTCTGACTTTGAGCTTTGAAAATCCTTGAGTAACTTGAAGTCCGTAATATCATACTGTATATATAAAATACCTTTCTCAAGAAACGTATATTATTTTGAGCCCGTACAGAACGTCAAGAGGATAATATGATTGGCACGCAGTCGACAATGACACTTTTATACTGGCATCAGTACCGCCGGAAACTGTTTTACAAATTGCTCAGATTTGTTGATGTGATACGAGTAACTGGCTCGTATGCCGGAAGAAACAATGCCATATCAGAACAGGTTCAGTCGCACAATTCAACCACCAATCACAAACTTCGTGTCGGATTTGAAAATTTAAATTAGGACAGTCAAAGTTTACAAAGGACCCATTTTCATACTAGGCGGCATTCCGAGTGTACAGTGCCATCCCATCCCCCTCTCCGGCCCCTTATAAAACACCAGACGGTACTGAATGGGTGTTCTGATCACAATCAGGCAGGTTGTTGTTACTTCCCAGTTTTGTATTTTAGGCAACAGACATCTGTGCAGGTTATTCAAGAATGGGCATTAGGAACTTTTCCCATATGGAGAGGCACCATAGAATACTTAATGTGTGCTACAGACATACTCTCTACACGCAGTAGAGAGATGCCAGGTTTGGCCAGTTGATATTCCAATGGAAACCAGGCTGTATGGAACAGAGGAAGATATGCGTGGCACCACAGACTTCATACAGGGTCTGGGCCTTCTCATCTGAAAACAACTGGCAAGGAGAAGGAGGGAAAAGAATGAAAGATTGTTTGGCTGCGCCAACCTGTGAGCACAAATCACTTAAATTAATTTCTTATTAACTTTCACTCAAAGTTTGTTAATGACTTGACGAAGAGCAGACATTCTACGTACTCAAACTCTAAACAACAGAACAAGCGCAATGACATCCATTATCATCCGGGTCGACTTTTCTCAGCCCGCTTTCAATTGCAGCTTCCCTGAGTCTTGTAATTCCAGCTTCTGTTACTGAAGAGCATTCAACATAACTGTCCAGGTTCAGCTTTGTTGCCACGTATGCTCCTTCTTTTGTGCTGATGAAAACTGGAGCTTTAGTGGTCTTGTAGGACTCCCGCCTAGAGCCCGATCGCGGTTTTTGAGGAGGTGGTGGTGGTGGTGGTTCGTCTCTGAGATCTATTTGTGTGCCGACCAGAATTATGGGCGTGTTGGGGGAATAGTGTCGAATTTCAGCTATCCACTTGTCTTGGGCATCACGCAGAGATTCTGGCATGGCCACGGAGAAACAGAGTAGAAACACGTCGCTGTTGACGTATGACAGTGCTCGTAGATGGATGTACTCTTCCTGGAAATGAATGAAATGGACGGTTTTGAACAACAGATCACGTCATAGGCATACTGTTTAAACATTACTAGTGAATATAGACAGGCGGATCGACAGAAAGAACAGTCTGCAAACAAGCACACAACTGCAGAGAGGAGGGAGAGACAGAGAGGAGAAAACTGACAGACATACAAAAACCGGCTGAAAATGTTAAAAAAGTATAACTTCTGATGATCTTGAATAATTCGTGTTAAAAACATTGTGTGCTAGACCGGGGCGCATAATAATACATCCAGGCGTGCCGTCACAACAAAAAATTCAATTGCGGATAAGGCTCCCACCACCCGAATTATTACCATTCGCCTGCCGGCTTGAAGGTCTTTGGTGCGATTTCAAAACGTGACGAACTATTTTTAGTACTGATCCTGACACTCAAGTCGACTCAGCCTAAAATGGTTATCAGGTTAATTAAGGAAAGTAAAGGTCGCCGGCATAATGGTAATTACATCACCCAAGATATGCCAATTGGTCTATAAAAATACGAGCCTATCATCATATGCCCGCCATTCCCCGTGTGGGTTCCGGGGCTCCGTTGTGGGGAAAAACAAGAATAATCCACTGTCTCCTTAACAAACATGTCGTAGGAGCTGACTAAATGGGACTTCTTTCAAAGTCGGAGTGCATCTGCCCGAGCGGCAAGGAACAACCAACTGCACACAAATAAGCCAGTAAAACTGATGTCCGCGTAAAACTCAGACCCTGGAACAAAGCCAAAGTCCAAGTGGACGAACAACCAGGACTGTCCATCGGAGCTTACAGCCGGTGAACGAAGAAGAAGAAGAAGAAGAAGAAGAAGATATGACTACCATATTAGTGGTGTAAAAAGCGTCCTTTACATATTGTTTTGCAACCGGGAAGGTTAACCCGGTCAACAAATGCCCGTAGAAGTCGGATGTGTTGGCCGAAAGGCGCAAATATCGCAGCCATGAACGCAGAAGAAGAAGATATTGTTTTACTGTTTGCCCCTTCTCACTGTCAAGATGAAATCCCGTTTTTACCCTTCAACGAAGTACCCAAAGAACCAACCAAATTAAATAGTTGCTTATCCTTAACATGACGTTGCAGAACGAGCTCCGACATTTTTTGTCTGCTGTGGTTTTTCTAGGCAAATTTACGTCCAGTGGTTTGACGTTTCTTTCTTGACAGTCGGCTTCTCGATACCATTGAGGGAGCCAGCGCAAGGCACGCGCCTGCAACTGGGATCGAACCCGGCATTACAAAGGGAACCAACCAAGGAATAATAAAAAATAAAAAAAAAAAGAATATATGCCAAGAGTGCAGTAAATACAATTCAACTCATAACTCAAATGGAAGATCTCACCTGTCCTGCAGTGTCAAACAAGCTGATGACGTAAGATTTCCCTCCCATTGTTGTTGTCACTGTGGGGGGAGAAAACAAAAAGTAAAATATTTATTAGATTACGTAATTCGGATATTTAAAACCAAAACAACAGACCCATCCATTGTCGTTACCAGAATTAATTACGTCCTTCTTAGGACGTTATTTTTTGTTATTTGAAGCCCCACTCTGGCTTTTGCCAGGGGCCGCAATATAGGCAGGTCATCATTATGGCCAAATGTCTGAACGCGGTTTCTGGGACCTCTCCACGGTGATCCTCATCCGCATGGTGGCACTTTGTGTCATCGGGTGTTTATCGCTTGTGTGATGTCCTGGTGGGGTAAAAAAGCCAAGCCAAGTCGTTACCAGAAATCAGAACACTTATCAAGGGTTATAATCACTTTCCGTCCTTTATAGGATGAAATTTCTCGTTATTTGAAGCCCTGCTCTGCCTCTTGCCAGGGGCCGCAATATAGCCCGACCATAAATATGGTCTAATGGCTGAACGCGGTTTCTGGGACCTCTCCACGGTAATCCTCATACATATGTTGGCACTTTGTGTCATCGGGTGTTTATCGCTTGTTTGATGTCCTGGTGGGGTAAAAATCTACTACTACATTAACAAGGGAAAATACAAGGAATTGTGAAGAGAACAAACAGTAAACATCCACAAGACCCCATCAGCAAACCCAACAGAAAGCAACATACAAATTATAATTTTACTTACGTCCTTTTTAGGACGTAATTTTTTGTTATTTGAAGCCCCACTCTGGCTTTTGCCAGGGGCCGCAATATAGACAGGTGATCAAAATGGCCAATTGTCTGAACGCGGTTTCTGGGACCTCTCCACGGTGATCCTCATCCGCATGGTGGCACTTTGTGTCATCGGGTGTTTATCGCTTGTGTGATGTCCTGGTGGGGTAGAAAGTCAGTCAGTCAGTCAACAACATACAACAATTTTCCGTCTACGAACAGGACACTGCAGGCTCAACTACCACATGCATAAAATAAAGATTGCAAAGTCCCCACAGTGTGTCTGTCAAACAGGACCACGAACACATTAGCACATTCTGTAGACCTGCCCACTCTACAAACAACTTCGAAAAGACACCTGGCCACAAGAGCAAAGTGTGCAGAGCAAGCTATGGGGAATCATGAAGGACCTGCTACTGACATGCGAGTTCATAGAGGTAACCGGCCGGTGGTCTGATCTGAGCATACGAACCCGAATGCAAAGAAGAAGAGACAGAAACCAAATTTAAAAAGAAAAGTGGAAGGACTGCCTATAATTTCAAACAATTCTGATTGAAAAGATTAAAGCAAGAAACGTATAGTGCATGTTTAGCCGATTTTTCTTTTTCTTTTTATGGCCGACTACATTGCCTTAGTGGATTCGTACACCTATTTGGGCAGTATTGTAGATTAAGATGGAGGAACTGATAGATATATTAAAATAAGAATACAAAAGGCAAGAGGGGGCTTTCATAGCACTAGGAAATTTGTGGAGGTCAAAAGAAATTAAAAGAAATACTAAACTAAAAAATATTAATTCTAATATCAAATCAGTACTACTTATGGGGCGGAAACATGGAGAACAACTAAGACAATTACTAATAAATTACAGACATTCCCTAACTGGTGCCTGCGCAGAATAGAGGGAATTCAATGGTATGATAGAATAACTAATGTAGAACTTTGGGAGAGAACTTAACAGGCTCCAGTGGACCAAGAGGTGAGGAAAAGAAGCTGGCGTTGGATAAGGCACACACTGAGAAAACAGGAGAACAGCATAACTATAATCTCTTTGCATTGGAACCCACAGGGGATAGGAATAAAGGAAGGCCAAAAACACATGGAGAAGGGAGCTGGAGAATGAAGTTAGAAAGATGGGGAGGACATGGGGAGAGCTCCATGCAATGGCGAAGGATAGAACGACTTGGCGTGAGTTGCTTGAGGGCTTATCCTCCATTGGAGGATAGAAAGGCAGAAGAAGAAGAAGAAGACATTGCATTAGATTATATCCCATCTGGATTTGTATCTCTCAGTAAAGCCACTTGCAGTCTGCCTGCAGGGTCATACAAAATATGACCTCCGTAGCTGGATTCTACATCTATAACATAACAACTATCTCGGTCATAAGGAGTGAGTAATGGAGGGTTTACAAACAATGTCCACACAAACACACACAATAAAAACATATAGTTATTTATGTACCGCACACACATATTCATATAAACATTACTATTTTTATTTTGCTAAACACAGGCTAAAAAACATACAAATATATTATTATTTACTTATGTGTATATCTTTTTTTTTTCACTTTTAAGGCTGTCAAATCATTGATGGTACAGTGCGTTCAGGTGTATTACATTATTAGCTTCTTCTTCTTCTTCCTCTTCTTCTTCTTCTTCTTTTTCTTCTTCTTCTTCTTTTTTTTTTTATTCTTCTTCTCCTTCTTTTTCTTCTCCTCCTCCTCTACTCCCAATTTCATATTTTTCTTCTGCTTCTTCTTCTTCTTCTTCTTCTTCTTCTTCTTCTTCTTCTTCTTCTTCTTCTTCTTCTTCTTCTTCTTCTTCTTCTTCTACTACTACTACTTCTTCTTCTCCTCTTTTTTCTTTTTTTTGTCGTCGTCTTCTTCTCGTTCTCCTTCTTCTTCTTCTTCTACTTCTTCTTCTTCTTCTTCTTCTTCTTCTTCTTCTTCTTCTTCTTCTTCTTCTTCTTCTTCTTCTTCTACTTCTTCTTCTGCTGCTGCTGCTGCTGCTGCTGCTGCTCCTGATGCTGCCTTCTATTTCCCAATGGAGTGCAGACTATCGACGAGCAAAATGAGCTATTTAACTGTTCAAAAATTTACCATCATCGTTATTATCTTTTTAAATTAATTTCCACACCATTTTTTGAATTATAATTTAATAATTAGTCATATTATTAGTAAGCATTGAACATATTTTTGTTCCATGTTCCTCTCTTCGTGTATTTAATTGGCGGTTATCATTATAAATGTGTTCGTTTCCGTCTTAGACGTAACAGGTAAATAAAAACATTTTGTGAGAACGGTTCACTATTATGTAACTCTTTCACTCTCTCTCTCTCTCTCTCTCTCTCTCTCTCTCTCTCTCTCTCTCTCTCTCTCTCTCTCTCTCTCTCTCTCCCTCGACAGTTTCTGTTATTATTCATTGAGAACTTTAATGTCTAAAAAAATTGAATAATGCACGCATTTTCCGTTTGACAACATTTCTGAATTCTCCCATGAATAAACATTGAGTAATTACGTTATTCGTCGTTCCATTCCCTGTTCGTGCTTTTGTAAAACAATTATTGAACGTTGTTTTCTGTCATCCTCTGGGTATTGCAAAGCCACCAATGTTTGATTTTGCTGTTTATGTGCGTATGTGTGTCTGCTCGCGCCCGCGGGTGAAACCCCCCCCCCCCCCCTTTTCCATATCTCACGCAGGCAGACAAGCAATGGATAAACATATGTGTATACTGTGTATGTTGTTGTTTTATTATGTGTTTTAAAGATGTTTATCTTTACACACAAAAGCTGTGAATATCAAAGCAAAGAGGCGTTGACCACACAACCCATCTACCCAGCCTAAAACTGGCACCAGGAAATGTCATTGGAAGTCAAGGCAGCCGACACTATTTTGACCACATCACCCAAAGAATAGCGTAACGAATTTCAAGTACCAAATGTACTAAAGGCTTGAAAGGGGTCTTGTTCACAAACAGGAAGTGGTGTTGCTAAAGCTACGTGGTGGATTTTTATTTTTAATTTTGTAATATTGCCGTTCCTATTTTTGTAATCACCATCTGTTGGGTTAACGCATCATATACTGCTATAGTGTGCCTTTTTTTTTGGGCAATGTTAGTTAGTTAGTTAGTTAGTTAGTTAGTTAGTTAGTTAGTTAGTTAGTTAGTTAGTTAGTTAGTTAGTTAGTTAGTTAGTTAGTTAGTTAGTTAGTTAGTTAGTTAGTTAGTTAGTTAGTTGGGTTATCATCATTGCACCCATGACATGTCCATAGGTGCTCAGATCCTCCGCTCAGTATGAACCCCAACGTCCGATGGCTAATAGTACCAGTTCTATGTTGACTAACAAGTCTTCTGGCGTGTCTGGTGTGCGTCTCGTTGTTTGCTATGCCGATCTTAAATCCCAAGTCTGCCATTCTGGCGAGTGATGTGGATTCACTGCCCCCAATGTTTTCCACATTACAGCTCTATTCACAATCGATTCTACTGGTTAAATTGCTCAAGTATAAGGATGAGGCACTTTAGTGTCAAGAAATAACACCACAAATTGTTGAACAACCACATTCGAATTTCTGCCACCGTTAAGGAACACATGCTCAACAAAATATACTTTTTCTTCAATAGTTAACACAATTTACAGCTAGGATCAATTACTTAAAGAGCGGAATTTAACAGTGATATTCTGAACAACTCTGGGAATCACGGGTAGTGAGCATATTTTGGATCTTTTCTCCAGGCAATGCCGGCATAGCAGGTAATAAACAGGCAGACACTCGTTGGATCTGCACCACTGGGTGGTGAATTGATTCATGACAAGGTAGATGTGGTCAAGGCCCTTTGGGAACAAGCAACGGAATCAGTAGAGAAACAAGATTATTATGGCTTGGAGAGAATGAGGCACCAGAGTGTAAAAAGAGGGTCTGGAAGGCTCACTACACTCAACGGAAAAGCAAGACGAACATATAACCAGATTGTGACCGGTTCCATCAATATTGGAACTCTGCGCTGGCTGCTGAAGATTAAGACGGAGCATGCATGGGAATTCCTCGAGTGTTGTGATGTCAATTCTAGACTCAACTCAGCACAACTTGGAACTTACGCTTACATGGTGCTCGAAACATGGCGTGATACATAAATTTAATTACGGTGCGCAAATAATTTATTTTAATATGTCTACAATCATTAGGCATTCACCCTATAATCACTTGCTCTTGTTTAATGGACAATGCTATAAATAAGCAATCTATACAGTTGATACACATTTCGTTTGTATCGAGAGACAACATACAAT